GAGACACCACACCCCCAAAGCCCAAACGAAAAGGCCCGTACGCTGATCGCTACTTGGGGGATCATGGGGACTTAGTAAGTATGGCAATTAGAAGTATAGTTACATTATCTATAACCCCAATTACTAAGTCCCATGATCCCCCAAACTAGCCCGATTGAGCCCGCGATGAAACTAACACGTATTCAGCGACTCCTGGGCTATCCTATACAGTAAGTAACTAAGGTTAGAAAAAGGTAACTATACTTACAGTTATCCATAACCCCAGTAGGCTACTTTGTGCTGTGCTTAGTAAGTCCCACCATCCTCCGAGTAGCTAAACATACGCAGTAGAAGCCGAGAAGTTGGAAACCCAATACCCTCAAGCCTTAAGAGTAGTATATAGGAAATCCCAGCACTGTTTGGCCTTGATCCGGTTTCCAACTTTATGGGGTCTACTGGTCTACTGTAGTCAGAAGACGCATGGTCACAATAATGCGAAATGGTAAACATCAAAACTTCAATCATAATGGCACTAGCAGCAACGGGTCTAGCGATAGCAAAAATGACACTACGGTTTTTTAGGACCCCCCAGAGCCTTCAAAACCCCTTAATGAAGGAATATATACCTCAGATCATATTCGGGATCCTATTATGATTTAAGGTATGTTCCTTGATTCCCTTACAGAACCCTTGATAGACCCCTTTAAGGGAGCCTTTAGTGGGTGTAACGGCATGTTCCTTCATTGAGGGCTTTTGGAATCAGCCAATTGCGAGTTCTTGGCTCCAGGCATACTTCGGATCGACCTGGTGGGAGATTCTCAAACTAGGATGCCTAGTAGCCTAGGAAAAAAGGGCTCCCTTTTTGGTATTCGGAAACTTTATAAGGAACCTAGGACTACAACAAGGGAATCAGGGTACTACTGGGCATCCCATCCAAGAGGCGGGCCCAGCCCTAATCCCATTGGGAATGTAACTTAGGTCACCAAAAACAGGAATCTATGAAGGCTCCTTTAAGAGATCTAGATGGGGTTCCTTTAAGGGCTTTGGGTTTAAGGTTTCCTAAATCCATGTATAGCGATCCTTAATCATTAGAATGGGGTTTGGAGGGATATGTAATAGTCTATCTATATGGGCGCCGCTGGATATTTATACGGGTGCTCTGAGTACGTATTAGTCCGACTGCTATAGGCGGTTGGGTCAACGGCTGTTCTTCTTGGAGGCTTCCTAGTAAGACATATTGGAAGGTTGGGGTCTAGGGCCCGTGGACGGTTCAGGGCTTCGTGTCTATGCTTTCGAGTTTAGGGTTTGGGGTTTAGGGTGGACGGTCTAGGATTTAGGGCTTGGGGTCTGAAGGGGACAGCCCGTGCTTGAACAAAGAACTAGGCTGTTGTTCGGGCAGCCGGGTGGCTAATTGTTCGCGATGTGTTTTAATGTACGAGCCTTCATAGGTAGAATATGGTGTATATTTTGAACCCTAAACCCTAGAACCTAACCCTAAACCTCTACTTCAGAAGCTGCTTAGGGCACCGAAAGTTACGTTCAGGGGCCCTGAACCCCCGGACCTTGGGCTAAGGGTGTAGGGTTCCCAGGGCCTCCAAATCCCCTTAATTAAGGAATATTCCTTAATTTATAACAGGATCCCTAATATGATTTAAGGTATATTCCTTATAGATCCCTTTATAGATCCCTTTAAGGAACCCTAGGTTTAACGGATATTCCTAAATTAAGGGCTTTTGGAGGCTCTGGGTTGAAGCGAAATGTAGGGCAAGCGCTAAACCCCAAACCAGGCCGCTCGACCCCAAAGACACTGAAACTCCACAAAAGCCAGCTTTGGGTTCCGGGTTCGGGTTCGGGGGTTAGGGCTGTAGCCACCACCAGCTTGAACTATGTTCGACTAGGATACCCAGTAACCTAAGAATAAAAAGACCTCTCTTTTTGGTAGTGGGTAACTTTATACGGAGCCTAGGACTACAAGAAGGGAATACGGGTACTACTGGGCATCCTAGACTATGTTCGAACACACACACACAGACACACATACCCAATCATGGTAGTAACTTTCACAACGGGCTCCCCGAGGCTGGGCTCAAGCACAGCGCTCACTGAAGCACTAAAGGCTTTCGCATCCGTGAGCATTAAGAGCTTGAACAGCACATGAGCTTGAAAGGCTGCTACCACGGCTCACCCAGAGCCTGCAAAACCCCTTGATTGAGGGGTATACCTTAAACTACAATAGGATCCTCAAAATGGTTTACTGCAAATTCCTTAATTAAGGGGTTTTGGAGGCTCTGGGCATATCATTCATCCCATGAAAAGCTGAGCACTCCAGGCTCGCAGAATCCACCATGGGCATTCCACATTCCCACGACATCAATACATGTCGGTGGCAAAGGTGTTCAAACACTCCTTACAAGGACGCGCAGCTTTGAACCGGAAGAGACCAACCCTCAAGCCCGATACACCCATATCCGGCTATGCGAAAACTATTCGGTGCATTAATTGGGTGTGATAGAATAGGGTTAGGTTTTTTGGGGTTCAGGGTTTAGGGTTTACCAATAGTCTCCATCGTAGTTTCACTTTCGTGTTACTGATTAGAATCCTAACTATAAAACTGCTTAAAACAAGAAACGGAGCTGCAACAATGGAGACTATAGGTAGGGTTTCATTCGAGTAACTTCAAGCTAAGGCTTGCAAAGGCTTGCAACTTTCTTCATGCCTCCACTCTGTACCCCAACACAAACCAAGACATTCTGAGCATCCGAATAACACCTCTAGAACCGTTCTGGAACCCTTACAGACCCTTGCAGAACCCACACCGTGAAACCCTACGGCTCCCACTTCAAGAAGAACTTAATATAGGGGCCTCGAAAAATTAGAATAAGGTTTTGGGGTATAATAAACTATACTATTTATTTTAATTAAGGAACCACCAAAATAGAGTAGGTAATTGTTGAAGCCCCCATAGCAATGCTCGCTCCCCATGTCCCTTTAATCTCCCTCCCATGACAGAAAACACCCCGAACTCACGGAAATCCGTGAAACAACTCGAACAAGAGCACAAGCAACTTTGCAACAACGGTTTCGTACACAAAAAGGCAACAAACAAACGAAGCCGGCACCTTGAATCCTAAGTCCTAAGGCTTCAATTCACCGGAGTGCCTTGCCGGCCAACCCGGACGAGGCCAACAGCGCCAGCAACCATGCAGCCATGGCTTCGCCAGGATGCAGCAAACAGCCAACAGAACGACACAACCCTAAACCCGATGCCCTCAACCCAAAAGATCTACAGCCTAAGCTCAAACCCTAGACGAAGGTAGGCTCTCCTGGCCATGCAAATCTGAAGGCTAGGTTGATCACAATTTCCGAAAGAGTCGTACCTAGACCCTCAAAAGTAGGTAAAATAATGGCCCGAAACCTATAAAAGGCGATTATTCTACATACTTTTGGGGTCCAGGTAACGGCTTCTCAACCTCGAGCCTGAGCTTGAAAGCAACCCTGTAAGTCTAGGGTTAAGGGTGCTTGAAATGTCGCCTACAAACATCGACGATGTCTTCAAGCACCTCAGCACCTCCTGAAAAAAGCGGCACCGTTCAAGCAAAGACCTTCAAACCTCAATCTTAATCATCTTAATCCGCTCATCAACTCCAGACCCTAAACCGTTAACGCTAAAACCCTCCTTGGGATCCCTGTGAAGACCCATCAGTGCAACCCTCTTACCACTAACAACCGTACAAACTCCGTTTCGATGCTCACGAGTTCCGGCTTAAGGTAGTATCTTTCAAACTCCATAGTAGCGTTTTAGGGTCTTAAGTCTCTGGCTTTTTAAGGCTTCAAATATTGGGGCTTCAGGCTTTCGGGCTTGAGGTGTTTACGAGTTAGGGTTCGGAGTTCAGAGTTCAGGGTTGCGGGATTTTCTAGATTCAGGGTTCAGGGTTTCAGGCGGAGGATGGTTTTGGCTTCGGTGCTTGCGGATGCTTGCGTTGAGGCCGTGAATAACTAGCAGGGCCATTGAAGATTGCTCTGAAACGGGTTTCTGACCCTAAACCTGACCCTAAACCCTGAACCCTACAGTAGAAGCCAGAAAGTTGGAATATCATGATCGTAAACCCCTTTAAGGTAATTTATAGGGGATCCTAGCATTAATCCATATTCCAACTTTCTGGAGTTCCCTGTAAGCCTAAACCTTACTTTGGAAGGGCAGGTTATAATTGGGGTAACTCTATTTAGGGTACTTATAACTCTACTTATAACCTACTTACTAAGTCCCCTGCCCTTCCAAGTACCCTAAACCCTAAACCCTAAACCCTAAACCCTAAACCCTGAACCATAAGCCTAACATGGTGTAGAGACCGGCCGGGGTATCAGAGGTCCGGGCCACCAAACTCTAAGCCCTAATTCCGCAAAAGAAACCGTAGTGACTAGCATAAGTTTCTTCTACAGGAGGTACTGTAGGGGTTTAGGGTTTAGGGTTTAGGGTTTAGGGTGTAAGGACTAGCATAAGTTTCTTCTACAGGAGGTACTGTAGGTGGTATATATACTTGGAGTAAGATTTTGCAATAAACTTTCTGACATATGAGACGAGAATCATGGGATGTAGTTCACCATGTAGTTGGTAGTGCGTAGCTCGACAGTAGGGCACTGTTGACCAGGCTTCACACCATCCAGCAGGGTGCGGTTGAAATGCCACCCAAGGCACAAAAACAAACACAAGGGACAGGGACCCCTAAAGAAAAAGGGAACACTTGCGCTACGCACGCGCACACACACACAATAAAAACCCATGACGCGTCCACCCAAGGCACGAGCAAAAATCAAAAAGCAAGGCACGGGCCGACAGAGGCCACCCCCGGCACAAACAAAATGCAAAGACTAAAATACAAAAACAGATCGAAGGCGCGGGCCGAAAGGACACCGTACAATAAATCATATTTGGGCTCCTCTTAAGATGCAAGATATATATTCCTTAATCAAGGGGTTTGGGATCTCTGGCCCCCCCAAAGGTCTCCGCTTGCAGCTTCTGCCTTGCTGATAGGCAACCATACTTTGGCCGTACCGCGCCGAAGGCGTGTCCTGCCAAGGCTTGCTCAGACCAAAACCCCAGACCCCCCAACCGTTAAACCCCTAAGCCCCAAACCTGAAACCCTAAACCCCTAAACCCCAAAACCCGAAAACCTAAACCCTAAACCCGAAGCCCTCCCTTAGCTAAAAAGAACATGGCAAACCGAAGCACTAAAGCCAGAGCTTTCCACGGTGCCATGGACCTTATGCAGCCTAAACCCGACCACTGATCAAACCCGAAAACTTTGATCCCTAAGCCCTAAACCCCAAAACCCTAAACCCTACAACCCAAAATCCCTAAACCCTAATCAATCCGCAAACCTCAAACCCTGAAACCCTAAACCCTAAACCCCTAAACTCCAAAACCCTGAATCCCCAACCCTAAACCCCTAAGACCCTCAGTCCCTAAACCCTAAAACCCTAAAACCCTGAACCCCTAAACTTTGATCCCTAAGCCCTGAACCCTAAACCCAAAGTCTCAAACTCAAACCCTAAAACCACTAAAACGAACCCCTAAAGTCGAAATCTCTCAAAGCTCCTCCGCTGGGTTAGATAACAGTCTCCAGCACTCGGTTTCGAAGCAGAACTCGCAAAGGTCCCGCTTGTTGGTGTAACCTCCGCAAGTTGAGCCCTAAACCCCTTTTTTGGGAGGCTAGGGGCTTTGGGGATTTAGGGATTTAGGGTTTAGGGTTTGGGGGGTTAGGGGCTTTGGGGATTTAGGGATTTAGGGTTTAGGGTTTGGGGGGTTAGGGGTTTTGGGGATTTAAGGATTTAGGGTTTAGGGTTTGGGGGGTTAGGGGTTTTGGGGATTTAAGGATTTAGGGTTTAGGGTTTAAGGGTTTATTTTTTTTTTTGGGGGGGGGGGGGTGGTTAGGTCTGGGGTGTCGGGTTCAGGGTGTAAGCTCTGAGGCTTCAAATCCCCAGCGGGTAACGGGTAATCGCACAGGATCACAACCGGGCTGTTCAAAACCATCGCAAACTGCAAACCGTAAACCCCTAAACCCCTAAACCCCTTAAAGCCCTAAACCCCTAAACCCCAAACCCTAACCCCAAAGGCTAAACCCAAACCCAAACAGACAACCCGAGGTCTCAGGCCAAAGCCCTCAACGACCCTGAAGTTCCAAGCCGCCATCCCAAACCTTCAAGTTGAAGCCCAACATTATAGTATCCTTAAGGGAGGGGGCTCCATGGGGGGTATATAGCCTAGTGATCCCTAATTCTCCCTAGTACTCCCTAAGGTTCCCTTACAATCCCCTAAGGATTCCTTATACCCTCCCCCCTTGAACTACCCTCCCTTAAGGATCCTATAACAACAAGACAAAAGCAAATCGTAACTAGGATGCCCAGTAACCTAGGAATAAAAAGGCCTCTCTTTTCGGTATTGGGTAACTCTATAAGGAACCTAGGACTACAAAAAGGGAATAAGGGTACTACTGGGCATCCTAGGTAATCATGGGGTTTAGGGTTTAGGGTGGAAGTACCATTAAGAAGAGTAGGAACAATCAACCTAGTAGCAGTTGTAACAGTAACAGAGGCACCAACAAACGCAACACAAAATGTAAAATGACAAGAATAGCAAGACCAGTAGCGGACGCAGTAATGGTAGTAGTAGCAAAAACTCTTGTGGGAAAAGTGAGATATAGTAGCCCTGAAGCGTGATCCCTGAATCCATAAGGCTGCCTTTAAACATCCTCCGCCAAAATTCAAAACCCTATATACTGAATAATCGGGGGACCTTGTCACGGTAAAGGGTGCCGGGGCGAAAGGTCTGGGGTTCTAAGGCCTATGGTTTAGGGCCTAAGGGTCAAGGACGCAGTGAGCAGGTGATAGTCAAAGACACGAAAAACACGGAACCACTTCATTGAGGTTTCTGGTTTCCGTGCTTAGTACTTTTCCCTAAGGCTCAAAATGGCCCAAAGCCTTATATAATATGGTCTTTAGGCCCAAAAGCCTTAAAATATGAGTCCTTAGAGCCTTAGGGCTTCGGAAACTCCCAACCAAGTAGATCCCACTGAAACTCTACCCTAAACCCTAAACCCTAAACCCTAAACCCTAGACCCTTAGCCACCATCCTCAGAGCAACCTGAAGCCTCCATCCGCCCTTGAAACCAGCTTAGGGCCTTTAGGGTCGAGGCTTTTGGGGCTTTTTGGGGTTTAGGGTTTAGGGTTTAGGGTTTAGGGTTTAGAGTTTAGGGTTTCGGGTTAAGGGCTCTTGTCTGACTGCACATCTGTCACTGCGGCTGTCTGAAGCCGGGTTCAGGGTATCGGCTTGGGATTTAGGACCCCTTGCACACATCAAATCCCTGTCACACGCTCAACAGGTTAATGGCTGCACGCTCAATGCCTAAAGCCTCCCCCCCAAACCCTTGTGAGCCCTAGACCCCCTACAAAACCCTATACCCCAACACCCTGGATCTAATTCTAAATGCATAGAGCTTACCTCAAGGGTCCAAGTACCTAATATTCATACCCTCTGCGCTGCATGCAGCGCACCCCTCAACAAAAACCCCAACCCAGTCTCTAAACCCTTAACCCAGAGCCCTTGAAAGGGACGCTGCAAAGGAACCCTACTTAGAGGTTGATTTTACTTACGATAGAAGCCAGAAAGTTGGAACATCATTAGCCTCGCGCCCTTCTATGTTCCAACTCTCTGGGGTTCACCAAAGAAAGCACAGGGCTTCTCGGCTCCCCACCGAAGTGGGAGCCCGACCCACCGAAAATGAACATCACCTTGGTTTATGGTTTAAGGGTTTAAGGGTTTGGGGGGCTAGGGGTTATAGGGTTTTAGGGGTTTAGGGGTTTGGCGGTTTCGGGGTTAAGGGGTTGTGGGACCCAGGTGTTTAGAGGTTTTCTTTTTGGGGGTTTGAGGGTTTCTGGGCCTTGGGGTTTAGCGGTTTGGGGCCTAGAGTCTTAGGAGTTTAGGGGTTTAGAGTTTGAAGGTTTACGGGTTTTAGGGTTCACGGGTTTAAGGTTCGGTGTACCCCAGCCCCGTAGGAGGATCCGAAAAGCAGATCCGTTTAGTAGTCTAGGGCACCAAATTCGGGATCTACTTTTTATATAAGTCTTGGAAATCTGGTCCAAGGTAAGGTACAGGTCAGAATGGAAAGAGCGTCTCCTCCTCGTATCCCCCGAAACCCAAGTCAAATCACTCAGGCCCCTGTACTACAGGGTTAGGGTTTGTGGATTCCGTGGAACCAAATCCCAACACAAGGACTCGGAGTGTAGGGGCTTGCGGAGCGGGTGTTTAGGGCTTTCGGGCTAAGGGTTCAGGCACCAAGAACTCGTGCGTATACTCCTACTCCTACTCCTGCTACTACTACGACGACGTTTGGGATAGGCTTCAGGCCGTGGCGTTGTCGGATTTCCGGTTCGTGGGTGGCGGGCTGAAGTTCTCGCGCTGTGCTGTCTGAGTTGGGGCGAAAATAGGGGGCCGAAAGGACTAGTATCGGTAATCATTTAGGCCCTTATATTGAGCCCTTGGAGTAACCCGAAGAGCGAGTAACCCGTAAAAAAGGAATCCTCAAACGAACCGTTGATAAAACCTTTTAGGGAATCCTTACAGAAACCCCGTTGTGGAAGAACACAGCTTCTAGCGCTTCAGAAATTGTGGGCGGTTCTCCAGCCCGGCTTCCGCGCTCTGCACCCGCCCTCTGCTAGTCCGTAGAAGGGCTGGTGGGCCAAAACAAAAGAAAGTGGGGGTAGCTCTGCGCTACAAGTGCACTGCACCGGGCGATGGCATGCCGGTGCAGGCTAGAGCCTTCGGCTCTGCAAAACTGGTGCAAAACGCTGTTTGGCACTGGGACGCTTTGTCTGCTGGGCGCCACTGGCGACTTCACCAGCGGTGTCTGTCCCACCGATTGTTGGACCAGGACCAGCGGTCGCAAGACCACTGGTCTCGATCATCGCGGCCTTAGCCGTACCACTGGCCCTTGCCGGCGCCTTTTGCGTTCTGGTAACGGCCGTCCTCCCGCTCGCGCTCCTGGTGCTCTGTGAACAGAACCCTTAGGCTGGACCCTGAACCCCTGGACCGTTATCGGTCCCTTATACAGCTCTTGCCGAGAACCCAAAACCCCGAATTCAACCCTAAACCATCAAAGCCTAAACGAGAAACCCTTGAACCCAAAACCTGTATCGATCCCTGGTGGAACCATTTACCCTAATTAGTTTAATTACACCCCCAAACCCTCAAATCCTAGTTCCCGAAACCCACCTGAACCCTAAAACGACTTCGGAAAAGGAACCTGAAAAAACCCTAAACCCATAGACCCTAAACCCTAAACCCCCAAACCCCTAAACCCCTAAACACCTAAACCCCCTATACCCTAAACCCCTAAACCCTAAACCCTATTATACGTATGCTAATTTAAACCCTATAGTCTTCGTGGCGAATGATCAACACTCGTAGCGGGTTGATCAAAACTTGCGGCGAATTGATCAAAACTCGTGGCGAATTGATCAAAACTCGTGGCGATTGATCAAAACTTGTGATGATCAAAACTCGTGGCGATTGATCAAAACTCGTGGCCCCCTCTTCCCGCCTCCCCTTCCCCCACCACACCCCAGCCACCCCTTCAGCGGTCTCGCCAGGGCAGAGGGCAGGGCAGGGCAGGGGCAGGGGCAGGGGCAGGGGCAGGGGCAGGGGCAGGGCAGGGGGCAGGGGGCAGGGACAGGGGCAGGGGCGGGCCACAAGCACTTACCAAGACAAAAACCTTACCACAAGCATCCGCGATCCATCACCGTCTGTTGTGTAGTTTCTGTCTGAAATATGTGATATGTTCTGTCAAGCATTAGCGTCAATGTATAGGTGAACAATTATACAATGCTTACCTCAAACTAGTGGTTAAAACAATAATTATATTTTTTGGTAGTATGTAAAAGATTGTTTATTCACGTCAAGCTGATTAGAAAGAAAATCTTTAATCCTAATGTGAGGGGATTCTGTGGGCGGGTGGGCTTTCTTCTGGAAGATAGCCTGACAAGAAATAGCTTGACAAGAATTTTTCAAAGTCAGAGCTGCTGAACCCCTAAACCCTAAACCCTAAACCACTAAACCCCAAACCCCTAAACCCTAACCCTAAACCCCTAAAGGGTCCCTATGACGAACCCTTGAAGGAGCCCTTATAGATCCTTTTAAGGAACCCTTTAAGGATCCCTTAGGGAACCCGTAACCCGCTGCCAAAGGCACGCCAGCCAACTCGTCTGTCACCGCCGAGTGTGAGGCACGACCGGTCCTTGGTACCGCGGCTTCAGGTTCTACTTAGAGGATCATGGGACTTAGTATTTAAGGGGTCCTTAAAGGGATCTATAGGGGTTCCTTAAAGGATATATAGGGCTTAGGTTCCTTTGAATGGAGCTATGAGTGTTTAGGGTTTAGGGATTAGGGGTTAGGGTTTGGGGTTTAGGGTTTGGGGTTGAGGGTTTAGGGTTTAAGGGCTGAGGAGTTTAGGGGTTTAGGGTTTGGGTTTGGGATTTAGGGCTTAGGGTTCAGGGTTCAGGGTTTAAGGTTTGGATTTTAGGGTTTAGGCTTGTGCGAAGGTTCCTCTAAAGGGATCTATGAAGTTCTACAGGGGTTCCTTTAAAGGGATCTTTCTACGGTGTTCCTTTAACCGGGTCTATGACGGTTCTACGGGGGTCCTTTCAAGGGACCTATGAGGGTTCGGGATTCCGCTAAACGAGGTCTCTGAAGGTTCCATGAGGAGCCATCCCGGTGGTGTCGCCGGCTACAGCTTGGACATCGAGCACTCTGTGGCCAGTTGAGAGTTTCCGAAGATAGAGGACCCTGATATTGTACCCTAAATAGTAGGATCCTTACTACAAGGACCCCAAAGTAAGGTGCCCTAATCTTCGGAAACTCCCAAATTGCGTTTTCAGCTTTTGCGCCATCCATGTGCCGCGGCTCGGGTGATGGGGACGTTGCCTCTTCCAGCTGGATAGTCACCCTGCAACCGAAGTCGACGCAGACCAGAATCATGAACCACCCTAAACCCTAAACCCCAAAATCCTAAACCCTAAATGGTCCGCGCTGCCGGGAACCCACACATCGATCGCGTGCTTCAGTGCCGCCGGAATCGCTGACTCCTTTCTATCAAGGATCCACAGGCTCAATAGGCTCAATTCTCAGGACGGTGCGCCTTCAGAAGCAAGCTGTGCACCCTAAATGTCGGGTATCATGGGGAACTAAAGCAACTAAAGGTTTAACCTTTTTGGCTATATAGGGATTATATAGGGGCTGTAGTACCCAAAAAAGGTTAAAGGTTGCCTACTCTACTACAAGGACACAGCATCTGCTCAGGCAGCGGCATGCAAAGAAGAAGACAACGCGGGCAAATGCTCACCCAACTACCAGGACCCCCCAATGGCCCTTTAATGGAGCCCTAATGGCCCTTAATAGCAGGTATTTGGGGTATATTAGAGGGTAGTGGGGGCTCTAGCTAGGCCAGGAGACTCAGCAAATTAGGCTCACTGGGCGTCATGGGTTTAGGGTTTCATGGGCAGTGGGCTTCAAAGGAGTTTAGTGTGCGGGTTGGGAGGGTTATTCTACAACAGGCCCTACAGGGTGTCAAAGAAGTTTCACGTTTTTGGAAATGTTTTATCAGGAACCTTATTACATGGGGTGTACCCTGGGCATCATAATAGCCCAAAAGCCTGATATAGTATGGTCTTTGGGCCAAGAAGCCTTAATATATAAGTCCTTAGATGCCTAGGGTTATATGGGGTGTAGGCGTTACTGGCTCTAGTGGTCAAGTTGTAGGCTTCAGCGTATCTTCCATCGAAGGGACCTTGCAGGATGAGATTTTAGAGCCCAAGCGATGGTTTTCGGTTTAGGGGTTCAGGGGTTTTTAGGGTTTAGGGTTTTGGGGTTCAGGGTTTAGGGGTTTAGGGTTTAGGGAAGTTCCAAACAAATACGTAGGGTGGACCGAAGGTTCTGGCGCTTCAGTTGAAAAGATAGTGAAAGAACAGGAACTGGATGAGACATTTTACAAACAATCGGGCTATCACCAGCACCCCCCATTTATCCTTCAATTTAATAGTGGTGTCATGGTCCTTTAAGATGGTTATTGTACATAGGCTCTCATAAGGGTACCAACCCTCAACCCCTAACTCACCGCCAAACGAAAAAGAAAAACATTATCGAAGCCTTCTAAAACCCCTTCAAGACTTCATGAAACCCTCTAAAACCCCGTAAGACTGTCATGCATCCGTTAATAAGGCCCTTATATAGACCGTAATACCGTACCCTAAGACCCCTTATAAAAAGTGCTAAAGCTCTATCAAAGCCATCCTAAACCCTCATAACACCCTGAAAAAAGGAAAAAACCTAAAAGTAAAAAAAAAAACAAAAAAAACGCTAAACCCCTATCAAACCCACCTTAAATTCTAATAACATCCGAAAAGTCCCAAACCCTAACGCCCCGAACAACTTCCCCCTGATGGCCCCCTTCCCTCGAGGCCCTGGCGGTCGGTCTCCGCCGGCCTCTATGCGCCGCCAGAGCCTGAGACATTGTTGTGGTGGAGGGCCTCAAAAACTGGGGATGAGGGTAGGTAGGTACCCAGAGACTCCAAAACCCCTTAATTAAGGATTATACCTTAAATTATAGAGGGCTTAATATTATGATTTAAGGTATATTAAGGGGTATTGGGTTCTCTGGGTAGGAGGTAGGATTCCTTAAATAGGGGCCCTTACGACACCCTGAACCCTAAACCCTGAACCTTAAACCCTGTACTTTGGGATTAATTACCCCAGCTACCTTCATCCTGCCCTTGGAGCCCCTTCATCTTGTACGTATTGAGGATCTATGTCGCTTGATTGCGGGGTAGAAGATTTTAACAGTCGCATGGGGCTTTATCGGGCATTGAAATGGGATCCCGTGGAAGGCTTCGATGAGAGGTTTTGTGGCGTCGTGCGAGGAAAGGGGGGTTAGGGTTTAGCATGGAGGATTTAGGATTTAGCATTGAGGGTTTTGCTTTTTTGGGGAGATGGGTTTTGGCTGTAAGGTATTGAAGAGTCTTAACAAGGATTCCATGAAAACTCTGTAGATACTGGATAGTCTGATAGTAAGGGTTCCATGGGCAGTGCAGGCTTTGGGCATCAGGATTGGGGTTTTATACCTTTTGGTTTGTGTATCACGGTCTGTGTATCGCGGTGAGTGTGCTGCTTTCGAAGGGGCGTATGCTGGCTTCAGCCGAATCATTCGCAATCGGGGTTGCTTCAACTCCCTTGAAAGGGATTTGTCTCGGGTCGTGGGTTTCCCACCTTATGTAAATTGAAATAGGGATCCTATTATGATTTAAACTATATTCCTTAATTAAGGGGTTTTGGAGGCTCTGGGCGCCCCTCGTATCCTGTTATGGCCGCTTGACGTGCTTCTGTTGTCAACGCGTTATCAAACCATCCAATCTACAGTAGAAGCCCAAAAATTAGAAACCCATTAGCTGCAATCCTGAAGAGTGATATATAGGAAATCCCAGCAGTGTCCTTGAAGCGGTTTCCAACTGTTGCGGGTTACTGTTGGAAGATGCCTGAGCCCTTGAAAGACCTTGGGCGAGCACCCAAAGCCTCCGAATCCCCTTAACTATGGAAGGAATACACCTTAAATCATAATAGGATCCCTATTATAAGTTAAGGTATTAAACGGTTTTGGAGGCTCTGAGCACTGAAGAGATGAGCTTCTGACCTCTTCCTGCAAACGTCTCGAATGCCCGAATTCATCGAAGACCTCCTCCCCCCCAACAACCGTAAATACTAAAAACTCTACTTGGAGGGGCAGGGGACTTGGTAAGTCGTGTATAAGTAGGGCTATAATTGCGTGACTCCATCTAGGTACTTATAACTCTACTTATAACCTACTTACTAAGTCCCCTGCCCCTCCAAGTATAGATCCACTCTATCTTGTAGATCCGTTCTAGAATCTGACAGATCCTTGATAGCCCTCAACCTTGGGAGCAAGATTTTCCCAGAAAGAGCGTTTAAAGATACGCTGTGCCGTACACATTTGGAAACCTAAGGCGACAACAAATTTGCCGAAGGAATGACACTTTCGCTCATAATTCGTATCCAACACCCCCAACCCGATGCTCTCACTTAGGGTTTAGGGTTTAGGGTTTAGGGTTCATTGAAGGTGTCAAGCTCCAGACCTCGTTTCGAGGTCTAGCACGTAAAGGTCGTCGAAGCAGCTGGAGCCATCGAAACCTCCGAAGATGTAGAGGTACCTGTTCGGGCTTCGGGGACGGCTTAGGTTTTTTTCTTTCATCGGCCTTTGTCATTCCGAGGGGGGGAGAGTTTTTTCTTTCATCGGCCTGTGTCATTCCGAGGAGGAGGAGGAGGAGGACGAGGAGGAGGAGGCAACAAAGCACAATTCGAGAGCAGAGTTTAGGATAAGATCTAGGGTTTAGGGTGGAGGGCTTTATCGGGCTTCATAAGGAGCTTACAAGGGTTTTAAAGGATTTTTGAGTGGAGGTATCTGCAGGGAGTTTATGCCTAAGTTTAACTTATATAAGTACCCTGAAGAGCTCTTCTACGGGTTCCTCTACGTTGGGGCTTTCGGGGCAACTGGGTGAAAGGCCCTTACAGGGCCTGTTTGTGTAGAAAGTCCAAGACCACCTGAAGCAAGGAATATAGAACGAACCATATTACGGATCGCTCTACGGTTCCAGATATATTGCTTAATGAAGACCTGTAAGGGGGTTTGGGGTGTAGGATTTAAGGTTTTGGGGCTTAAGCTACGAGTTAAAGTTGAAGGCCCAGTGAGGGTGCTTGTGACCCTACTTAAAACCAAAGTTCCTGAGTGACCCCTCAAAGTAAGGGCACTTTTTCGTTTTATTCAATTTTAATAACGGAACCATACAGTAAAAAGGGCAAAAGGGTACTGCTCAGCAACGTTGCAACTTACCTGCGAGATCCTATGCCATATACGGGCTTTTAAAGGTTTGCAGCACTTGTGACATTTTTGCGTTGTGGTTTATGCATCCAGGTTCAAGTTAGCGTTCAGCGCGCTTTGAACCACAATCGCAGAATCGGATGTCGGTCAGTCATGTCATGATGAAACAAGGCCATCTTTATGGGATCCTGATGAGAGGGGGGTCCCAGGAAGTATCTAATTTGGTAATCCCTAACTAGTAACTAGTACGCCAACAAGGCTCCCCAAGGTCACCCCAAAGGATGCCTGCTACCCTCCCCTTTTGAAGGATCCCATAATTTTTGCAGGAGTCCAGGAAACGTATCCGCTTGTCGGAACTGCTCCAGGCCCGTCGAAAGTTCGCCGTCAAGGGCATTATGCCCTGCGCCGCACAGACTGCTTAACCGTTCAACGATCAGCTGAGTTAGTGTGTAGGCTCGGTCAGGTTCTACCAGGCTTAGTTGCTGAGTTCATAAGCCCCAAAAACAGTTCTATAGGGGGTAATCTTATCCCAAAAAGTGTAAAGTGTATCCACTCAGCTACTACGCCATGGAGCTATTTACAGCGCTCCCCAAACCGTAGCAGGTCAAGCTTCTTTCAGCATCAACCTACAACCGTATACCTCGGCTAGACCACAAACCCTTGACTCTGAAACCCGAACCCTAAACCCTGTAGATCCCACAAAGAAATCCTACAGAACCCCTCTAGATCCCCAAGAACTTAAGAGCACGGAACCCTAAGCCCTTCACCACCCTCCACTGCCCCTGAAGTCTATGCTCAAGAGACACTCAGCGCCGACGCCTGCCCAAAGGCTGGGCATACTAAAGTATACAAAAGGGTGGTTGTCAAAATTAGGGTCCCTTTTTGGGTACCCTAAACATTAGGTGCCATATTATACTAAGGACCCTACAAGGGACCATAATTTTGACAACCACTTATAGGAGGAAAGAACCCCAGAAATAGTTTAGTAATTATTCTGGCTTGTGCTCCAGCCACTCCCAATAGGTTCTGGGATTTCTAGGCATTAAAGCCTACTTGTCGAGTATCATGGGGAACTAAAGGTTAACTTTTGTTGGTTATATCGGTGTTATGTAGGGATTGTACTACCCAAAAAAGGTTAAAGCGCGACGTGGAACAAGCTGCGTCCCCAGCGAAAGGCGTGAGACGAGCTTCGTGAATTTGCGAATTAAGCTCAGAAGTGTTGTGGGAAGCAGGCCGGCAACGGACGAGGCGTGATTTGGGGGATGCGATACGAATATTTCAGGACTCGGACTCCCGGCACTATGATGGATTCAAGAAGGTGTCGAACGTGGGACCCTGAAAGGAGGTTGGGTCGGGATTTCAAAGAGGGAACAACATTGGTGAACCCGTAAGATGACAATGATCGCAGATTTTCGCGGGGATAAGGAGTCAACTTCAAAGAAGCATTAAGGAGATCTTTCGGCTGTTTGGAGGTTATGCTTCTGACGTTTGGGCTTCAGGGTGAAGACCTTACGGTTGTCCGGTTCCTAGAAACTTACCCTGAACCCACCTCGTCCGGCGAGGGCTTTGCCCGCCGAAAGCTCAGTCAAGACAGCGCGATGCACTGAACATAGGATCCTACTTACTGAATTCCGCGGAGACGCCAACCGCCCGTCGTTAAGCAACATTCCATAAATCGCGGAAAGCTTACTTTCTCCTCAAACCATCACGAGCAAGTCAGGAAGCTGTTTGGATGGTGACTGCACATAGAACAAAAAAGAGTGCGTTTAGTTTTTCAACTAGCCAACTAAGTTCATGAGGGCGTCCATTGGAGTCTTCTACTTGGAGGGTCGGGGGACTTAGTAACTGTTTATTTTAGGGACTTATAAGTACAATAACCCCTATCAGGGTCCAATTTAGGGTGCTTATAAGTCTACTGACTACCTACTTACTAAGTCCCCCGACCCTCCAAGTAACCTGCAGGAAGTGCGCTCTATGCTCTGCCGTGTTCGGAGGCTCGTTTATGCTCCTTGTCACGAGGCAGGCTGAGGCGCATCCTGGCGGCTGCCGGTAGTAGATGATTTTTAGTAATACTAGCAGTACTGCTACTTGGGGATTTAATTTTTTGCAAGACTGGCAATACTGCTACTTAAAACTACTGGTACAAGCAACAGCAATAAGAAGAACAGCAGTAGTGCGAATAATACTGATAGTAACCTGTACCCTAAAGCCTCAACCCTAAACCCCTAGGGTTTAGGGTTCACACCCTGAACACTAAACCCTAAACCCCCAACCCCTCATGGATCCCTTACAGATCCCTTACAGATCTCTTACAAGAACCCCGGGGTGCCTTTGAAAGGAACCCCTAGGGATCCCTTGATGGAACCCCCTGTTTGAGAGCGGCTCCATCCAGGCTGGGGTCTTCAAGATTGAACCAAATATGGGAGTTTAGGGTTTAGGGTTTAGGGTTTAGGGTTTAGGGTTTAGGGTTTAGGGTTTAGGGTTTCGAAGATTAGGGGGTAGGGTTCCTTAACAAGGCTGCTATAAGGGTACTATAAGGGTCCCTTGAGTTTCCGAAAATTAGGGGTACCTCAGGGCTCCTTAAAAACGTTTCTATAAGGGTATATACTATAAGGGCTCCTTTAAAGGGCTCTATAAGGGTTTAGAGTTTCCGAAACTTAGGGATACCCTTATTCTGGGGGCCCTTATGATAAGGATCCTACTGTTTATTTAAGGTAGTACATTACCAATTTTCGGAAATTCCCAACTATCTTCCCTGGAGCCGAGTTCAGGGCTTTGGTTTAGCAAAGGCCATTAGGGTGTAGGCTTTGGGGTTTAGGGTGTAGGGTTTAGCAATTTAGGGCTTAGGGTTTCGGGTTTAGGGTGTAGGGGTTTAGGGGTTTAGGGGTTTAGAGTTTAGGGTTTAGAGTTTAGGGTGTAGAGTTTAGGACTGTTTAGGGTTGAGGGTAATACGCCTGCGACGGGCTTGAAACTCCACGGAGCTTTCCCAGAAGAGGTGGTTCCGAAGTCTTCTGTTCTTGAACGATCACGGCACACGAATGTGGGGCCGAAGATAAGAAACCTAATTCCAAAAAGTAGGGAATGATCATCAAACCCCTGAGCCCTAAACCCTAAAATACTAAACCCCAAACCCTAAACCCTAGTTTAGGGGGCGAGTTTTGGGGTTGGGGCTCGGGGCTTAGGGTTTACCGAATGACAGCAATTGATCAGAATCTGTGGGGCTTCGCGGACTTCAGTGCTCATGTTCTTCCACATTTGCTCGCGTTTTTTTTGCGTCTGTCCAGAATTGTGTATCTTGTGCAGCCTCTCTTTCTCTCTGTCAGACTGTCAGTCTGTCAAGCTGTCAGTCTGTCAGTTCTTCTTCTCTCCGTCGCTCTCTTTCTCGCTCTCTCTCTCTCTGTCTTTCTCTCTCTCTCTCTCTCTCTCTCTCTCTCTCTCTCTCTCTGTGCTTCCATCATCCTGGCTGCATCACATATTCACATCTGAGCACTACGGAGTACAGCCCACTGCTCTTGCTTATCAAATACTACCGGGCGGGGAATAGATAGAATCCGACTAGGGCTTTGAGGCAACTCTCGTATGATTACATCAAAGACTCGGGGAGGGGGTTGAACAGTCACCGGCTTATCGCCAACACCTGTATCTTAGCTTCTAACTAAAACAAGCAATTGAAATTAAAGATGCCCAAGCAAACCTCTCAACAAAAAGAAGATAAAAAGGCACCACACACTCAATCTGTGGAAAGCCACGAAGGCAACCCCTCAACCCTGAACCCCTAAACCCAAAGCCCTGAACCCAAGGGGCGAGTCCTCAGTGGTGGATCGTCGCGTCCTGGTAGAGCAGCTTCGTCAATTCCTCTTTCATGGCCTTGGCTGCTCCTTGGCCGGGGTGAGGGCCTAGGGTTTGGGCCTTGAGGGTTTAAGGGCTTAGGGTTTAGGGTTCAGGCTTCAGGGTTTAGGGTTCATGGGATAGGGTTTAGGGTGTAGAGTTATACGGTTTTGTCCTTGGCGCCTTCATCCACGCTATCTCACCATTGAGTGTGTGTGTGTGTGTGTGTGTGTGTGTGTGTGTGTGTGTGTGTGTGTGTGTGTGTGTGTGTGTGTGTGTGTGTGTGTGTGTGTGTGTGTGTGTGTGTGTGTGTGTGTGTGTGTGTGTGTGTGTGTGTGTGTGTGTGTGTGTGTGTGTGTGTGTGTGTGTGTGTGTGTGTGTGTGTGTGTGTGTGTGTGTGTGTGTGTGTGTGTGTGTGTGTGTGTGTGTGTGTGTGTGTGTGTGTGTGTGTGTGTGTGTGTGTGTGTGTGGTGTGTGTGTGTGTGTGTGTGTGTGTGTGTGTGTGTGTGTGTGTGTGTGTGTGTGTGGTGTGTGTGTGTGTGTGTGTGTGTGTTGTGTGTGTGTGTGTGGTGGTGTGTGTGTGTGTGTGGGTGTGTGGTGTGTGGGTGTGGGTGTGGGTGTGGGTGTGGGTGTGTGGGTGTGTGGGTGTGTGGGTGTGTGGGTGTGTGGGTGGGTGGTGGGTGTGTGGGTGGGTGGGTGGGTGGGTGGGTGGGTGGGTGGGTGCGCGCCTGTGTGTCCCTGTGTCTCTGTGTCTGTGTGTCTGTGTGTCTGTGTGTCTGTGTGTCTGAGTGTCTGTGTGTCTGTCTGAGTGTCTGACTGTGTGTCTGTCTGTGTGTCTGTCTGTGTGTCTGTCTGTGTGTCTGTCTGTGTGTCTGTCTGTGTGTCTGTGTGTCTGTCTGTCTGCCTGTCTGTCTGGGTCTGTGGGTGTGGGTCTGTCGGTGAGGGATTGTATGGGTGTGTGGTTGTGTGGGTGTGTGGTGGGTGTGGGTGTGTAGGTGTGCGGGTGTGCGGGTGTGTGGATGTGTGGGTGTGTGGGTGTGGGGGTGTGTGGGTGTGTGGGTGTGTGGGTGTGCGAGTGTGCGAGTGTGCGAGTGTGCGGGTGTGGGGGTGTGGGGGTGTGGGGCTGTGGGGGTGTGAGAAGGATGGATCCTGCGATAGAGAATTGACCTGTGAAAAGGGCTTCACCGTACATGCAGGGCTTTCTTTTTAGCGGTTTAGGGTTGAGAAAAAAGAAAGACGAGGGCATCGGGCTTAGAATCTAGGTCTAGGGAAGGAAAAACGGGATCCAAATATTAAGCTTAGCAGCTCAGGTGCTTGAGGCTTAAGGTTTAGAGCCAAGGCCCGTAAACTCTAGTTTATGCTTAACCTGATGGATCACGGAACACACAGCGCCGAACCCCGGAAAACACAAACCGTGCGTCGCCAAGGAAGGACTTTCCAAGCGAGATCGAAAACTGAAATCTGAAAAAAAATGAGTACCACTGAAGATCCGAGTCTCGTGCGTAGATCGCATGAATTTGTGCTTCTTCTTTCTCGTTGTGGCCACGCACACTCATGAGGACCGGGCAGGTGGGATCGGTGACACACTCCTCGGCTTGGCCAGCCCTAAACCCTAAACCCTAAACCCCAAACCCTAGACCGAACCCTGATATAGGGCCCTTAATTAGGATAGGGCTTTGTGAGGGCTCTGTATGGGAGTTGCCGATCTTAGGGGACGCTAATGTCGTACCCTACATAGTAGGATCCTCATCATAAGAACCCCAAAACAAGGGACCCCTAACTTTCGGAAACTCCCTCATGGCTCTGTAGTGGGTTTCTATCTTGATAGCCAAGTCATAATAGGATTTGGGGCTTGCTATATAGTTTCATTGCAGGCAGGAGCCGTATTGAGTAAGATAGGCCTTCTATGAACCAATGTGGGGGTTTAGGGTTTAGGGGTTAGGGGTATCGGGTGCATGGGAAGTTGAGGGTTTGTGAGAAGGGCTGCAGAGTTGACCCTAACCCTGAAGGACCTACCTCTTCAAGGGTTTATATAAGGAAGTCATAATGAGGAACCCTAAAACGGTAGGTTGTTCAGGGTTAGGGTAGGGCTTAGTGCTCAGGGTTTTCTGGTTTAGAGCACCGCCAGTCTCGAACTTTCCGGACTTCCAAAACACAAAAGGCTCAATTCCATGAACCCATCAAACCTCATCTAGGTGGGGCTTTTAAAGCCTTTGAAAAAACTAGGTAAATTAAGATACTCTTGAGCCCAATAACTGAAAATAGAAAATAAGATACTCTTAAGCCCAATGAGGGAAAATAGAAAATGTCCCCAAGCCCTACCTAGTCATCACCCCTAAAACCTTTGGTAAAAAAACACGCTACACTGTCGGACCTCGGCTCGGCTCGGGGATAGAACATGCCGGTGCCGATCAGATCATGGCGCGTCACGCGGTTGTGGTTGAAGAGCCTCGCTTTGTTGGGATTGAGGGCTACTTGGAGTATCATGGGACCTAGTTGTTCCTTAAAAGGTTCCTTGAAGGGTCCTGAAGGGGATCTATATGGGACTGTTGGGATTCGGGGTTTAAGGTCTACTTGGAGGATCAGGGGAGTTAGTAAGTAGGGATATAAGTACCCCAACTGGTGCTAGAAGTAACTATAAGTATAGTTCACCTTTGTATAACCCTAGTTACTAAGTCCCATGATCCTCCAAGTTGGGTCTAAGGTTTAGGTGTTTGAAAGGCTTTATGGGAATTTGTTCCATTTTTCAGACTGTCAGGTTCATGAGTTCATTGCTTAGTTTATTGCTCAGGGTCGCAGTGTTGCCTGTTTGGAACGCCGTCTTTCACCGAATTGATTTTGGGTCGATGCTGTTGTGACTAAGTAAAAGCGTTTACCCTAAACCCTAGACCAGGGCGCTGAAACCGGCTCCATATAACCTCAGACCCAAAACCCCAAGCCGCAAGCCCTAAGCACAAAACCTAACGCGGTTCAGGGTTTTAGGGTTCAGGTATCTTTGACAATACCGCATCCCCCTTTGAGCTGCAGGTTCTCTTTAGGATTTAGGGTTTGAGTTTGGCATCATAGACTCTATAAACACTGAACAGACCCTGAGCCCTAAACCCTAAAATGTCCTAAATCCTATTCCCACAAAGAACCCCTATAAATCCCTTTAAAGGAGCCTCAAGCCCCTGAAAACTTCCTAAACCTAAACCCTAGACACAAGAAGAGGAGCCTGATCTCAAGCGTTTCCATGGCAGGGGGGGTAAAGATGGCGAAGTTGAACGCTCCCGAGTTCGCGTCGCGGAACACCTCCGTCTTGTAAGTGCGTCCTTGCCAAGTTTGAAGACTTTAGGGGTTCAAGGCACCCTTGTCCTTTTAGAAATAATAGACACAGGCCTATACCTATATCCCTAATAGGAATTATTTAAGGTCTACTAGACGGTCTGTTTATTCATTCGGGGGAACCATGAAAAAGGACAAGGCTGGTTCAAGTGCTCCGGGGCGTAATGTAGGAACCTGATTAAGAAACCCTGGGCCTTTATGAGGGCTCCTTTAGAGGGGTCTATAAGGGCTACTATAAGGGATCTATAAAGGTACTATAATAATGTAGGAACCTGATTAAGAAACCTTGGGCCTTTATTAGGGTTCCTTATATGAACCCTGCAATTTTGGGGTTATAGGCCCAGGGTTTCGTAATCAGGTTCCTACATTACGGATTATTGGTTTTTCCGAACTATGTTGACGGACTTTTCGAACGCCTGTCAGCCCAAAAGCAAAAGGTTTAGGGCTTAAGGTTTAGGCTTGTGGACTATGGTTTAGGGTTTCTCTCTTCTTCAACAACCGGGCCTCAAAAAGTTCAAACTCTCTAAGATGGAGTTAATACATAACGCCAAAAAGTTTAAAGTTCCCCCGTTCACTATCTAAGGGTTTAGGGTTAAGGGGCTTATAGCTTGGAGGTTAAGGGTTTAGAGATGAAGGCTTCGAGGTTGAGGGCTGCGCAGTTCAGGGCTGCTGGCTTTAAGCACGTCGTCTTATTTAGGGTTTAGGTTTAGGGGTTACGCACGCAGGGGGCGCAAGGCTTGAGATGATTTTACGGTTCAGGGCGTAGGCATTCGATAAGGCCCAGCCGATTGTCGGAAAGCAGTGGCTGCGGCAGGGCTCGCAATATGTGAACACTTTATGTCAACCATTTACAAAACTCTACAACTACATGGTGCAGCGGCGCGGGGCCACGGTGTAGTAGTCTCAGCACATGTGTGTACAAAAAGAGCAGGGGTACCTGTCGTGCACCCCGCCTCGCACAAAAATGCCTTTCTTCTGTGAGGCATCTAGTCCATCATTCGTTCGAGATGCGGAGTTTCGCATGCCGGCATCCAGGCAAATGATAATGCGGCTCTGTCCGAAGAAGCTCTGGCCTTGAGACAGACTCCAGGTACGCTTCCCGCCGCAAGCGGGCTTCGTTGCAGCCTGTGCGCTGCGGGCCAAATCGCCCATGCGCGCCTTTGGCTCTATGGGCCTTTGGAGTCTTCGACCAGAGCCGCCTCAATCCCAAGCAGGTGTTCTTGCTTCTTCGGAAGTGGCCACGGGGCGCTGGAAATTTCCTCTGCATCAGCTCGAAGTCCGGTGCTTCCTCCAGGCTGCGAGCAGGCTGCCCGTATGAAGTTCTCTCGGCTTCGACAGTTGGTTTTGCGGACTATCTTGGGACCAGTTTGGGGTTTCTGGCTTACTGTTTGGGTTTAGGGATGAGGGCACGAACCCTAAGCTGTTCAGCAGGGTCGATCCTGGGGCCTGCGTGTTTGTGCATGAAGAGCTTTTGGATTCTAACGTCTTTCGATCGGGCTCATGATGCTTACTTGCTCAAGTTATGCTTCTGTTCACGGGCCCCTTGTTGAATTTGATGTTCCTCGCCTTGTCAAAGATTCTTGTCATGGCGTGTTGTTTTTTTTTTGAATTTGTGTTTTTAGTGTATAAGAGCTTGAGGGTTTGGGGTTCAGGTTTGAGGAATTTCAGGTGTCTTGGTAACTGGTTATGTTAAGGACTTATAAGTACCATAATCCCAATTAGGGTCCCTTTTAGGGTACTTATAAGTCTACTTACCACCTACTTACTAAGTCCCCCGACACTCCCAGTAGACCCTGACAAACCCTACCTAAACCCTAACTTCTAGGCTGGCCTCCTTGCCCTGAGACTCCAACGCGGCCCAAAGCACGTGCCACTTATCCAGACCCCCGGAAGGATCCAAAAAGTAGATCCCTTAATGGGGGTTCCTATAAAGTACCCTTAGTAGTATAGGGCCCCAAATTAGGGGATCTACTTTCTGGATCCTCCCGAAAATCTGGGTATCGACTTAAGAGGCCAGAGTCCAGAGTAGGTACTGTTTGTATACTTGGGGCCCTCTATGTTTGGCTCTTTCTTCGGGATGATAAGAACCAAGCAGTAAAAACACATTTGTATGTACCCCTATGCTTTGGGGGAACCCGAAGCAGAACAACGCCCACGTGAGATCCGAGAAGGCCTCGTCCAGCAGACGTTTAGTTTCAGGCGTTATGGGCACGGTTTAAGGTTTAGGGTTGTTATGGGCTTGGGGTCTTAAGATTTCGGATTACAGAATAGGTTCAGAGTTTGGGTGAGGGTGATATCACCTTACCATCCTGATGTACGTAAACGTATACGAAACCAACAGCATCTGCAACGATGACCGCATCTACATTAAGATGAAAAACGCCTTGAATTGAGATAGCTTCAACTCCATACCCTTTACGCTCTAAGTTCGCTCTTGAACTGCTATCTACAAACGACGTGTCCTGCAAGATAGACCCCATTCCTTTGCCGGCTTGAGGCTTTATACGTGAGATCTCGATTACAACCCCTCTCCATGAGGGTGCAAAACTCATTATTCGTCAGAAGCCTACGTGGTAAGTCGTTCTACATCGTAAACCCCCGCTAAACCCTAAACCCAAAGCCCCATCGCAAACCCCGACTGCTCTTGTTTCTGGACCCACACCTGTGGGCTGCACGGTAATCTCTGCATAGACGTCACTGTCCTGGGATTTGGATTGTGTAAAGCAAGAAAGAAGAACAGCGAGAGGAGTTCTCCGTGAAGTGTTGGGGCGATAAGCTGAGGTAACCGCAGCCATTGCAACAACACAACTTTACACTCAAAATCATCAAGATCTGCTTGACGGCGCCAACAACAAAAACCAGTTCTCCTCCTCCTGCTTCTGCTCCTGCTGCTCCTGCTGATCCTGCTGCTCCTGCTGCTCCTGCTGCTCCTGCTGCTCCTGCTGCTCCTGCTGCTCCTGCTGCTCCTGCTGCTCCTGCTGCTCCTGCTGCTCCTGCTGCTCCTGCTGCTACCTCCTGCTGCTACTGCTGCTACTGCTGCTACTGCTGCTACTGCTGCTACTGCTGCTACTGCTGCTACTGCTGCTACAGCTGCTAGTGCTGCTGCTACTGCTGCTAGTGCTGCTACTGCCGCTACTGCTGCTACTGCTGCTACTGCTGCTACTGCTGCTACTGCTACTGCTACTGCTGCTGCTGCTGCTGCTGCTACTGCTACTGCTACTGCTACTGCTACTGCTACTGCTACTGCTACTGCTACTGCTACTGCTACTGCTACTGCTACTGCTACTGCTACTGCTACTGCTACTGCTACTGCTACTGCTACCGCTACCGCTACTGCTACTGCTACTGCTACTGCTACTGCTACTGCTGCTGCTGCTACTACTGCTGCTGCTGCTGCTCCTGCTGCTGCTGCTGCTGCTCCTGCTGCTGCTGCTGCTGCTGCTCCTGCTGCTGCTCCTGCTAGTGCTGGCGTTGGTGCCAGTGCAACTGCTACTGCTACTGCTCCTGCTACTGCTTCTGCTCCTGCTCCTGCTGCTGCTCCTACTACAACTGCTACTACTACTGCTACTACTACTACTACTGCTACTACTACTACGACGGTGGATGGACAAGTTCTTGCACCACCTGCACATGCATACTTCAAACGAGCAAGGCATCAAGCCCCGCACCCCCTACTGAACATTGCTAGCTGGGACTACTTGAGCGGTGCAACATGTCGGCCATTGGAACAAATCTGGTCTCGAGCCTTTCAGAGCCAAAAAAAGGGTCGCAGGGAATCATGAAATGACGCTGCTGAAATGATGCAAGATTTTGTCCGTCCACAGTACTACCGGTACTACTATTACTACTATTACTACTACTGCTACCACTACTACTACTACTACTACTACTACTACTACTACTACTACTACTACTACTACTACTACTACTCCTGCTACTACTCATGCTACTACTACTGCTGCTGCTACTGCTGCTGCTACCTGCTACTGCTGCTGCTACTACTACTACTACTACTACTACTACCATCACTACCACTACTACTACTACTACTACCACTACCACTACCACTACCACTACTACTACTACTACTACTACTACTACTACTACTACTACTACTACTACTACTACTACGACTACGACTACTACTACTACTACTACGACTACTAACTACCACTACTACTAACTACTACTACTAACTACTACTACTATCTACTACTACTAACTACTAACTACTACTACGAACTACTACTACTAACTACTACTACTACTACCACTACCACTACCACTACCACTACCACTACTACTACTACTACTACTACTACTACTACTACTACTACTACTACTACTACTATTACTACTACTACTACTACTACTACTACTGCTACTAACTACGAACTGCCAACTACTAACCACCAATTACAAACTGCCAACTGCACATGACTTACTTTCTAAAAACCTCTTACTACTAATTCTAACTACTAACTACTACCTATTACCTACTAACTACTAACTCAAACTACTGACTACTAACTACTAACTACTACGCCTACTCCCATGCCTACGGCCCTTGCCACTGCTACTGCTGCTGCTGCTGCTGCTGCTGCCGCTGCTGCTGCTGCTCCGCTGCTCCTGGTAGTTGTCGTGGGGGCTGCTGCTTTTGCTGTTGCTCCTGCAGCTGAAAGGGGTCTACAAGGGCGATTCTACGGATTTAGGGGCCCTTGATCATTAGCATAAGGTTCCTTTAAAGGGGTCTAGAAGGGCTATTATAGGGATTTAGTATAGGGGCTCCTGCTCCTCCACCTACCACCACCACCACCACCACCACAACAACACCAATGCCGTACTCCTTCTGCTGCTGCTGCTGCTGCTGCTGCTACACCACCGCAACTGCGACGACCACCCCAGCCACTACTCAGAAGAGAATCACCGATACGATACAAATCCTGCGAGTCGACCTCCCAAACATCTCACCATGATCAAAGCCTCAGGCGCGAAAATCCTGAAATCCAAAACTCGAAAATCACTGAAACAACGGAGCCCGACAACCTCTTGGCCAAGTCGCAACACGCTAATTCTCGAACTGTAAGCACAACACCACAAAACCCTGCCTAAACCTTCGGGGCCTAAATCCTTACCCTAAGGCTCAAAATGGCCCGGAAGCCTGAACAAATATGGTCTTCAGGCCCAAAAGCCTCAAGAAACCTAAGCCCTGAACCCTCAATACCAAACCCCAACCCTTAACCCAAAACATTGAACCCCTCGTAAAACGCTTAAAAGAACCCGCTTACGGATTCCTTGATGGAACCCTCGGGAGGAACCTGTGAAGAACCCTATAAACCCTTCGAAACCTTTAGAAATGGGCTGTGTTGAGGGTTTAGGGTTGAGGGTCACCCTCCATTATAAGCCTACGCATACATAAAAAGCGTAACCAGTGTCGCTCCACCAATCCCAGGACTTCTTCACGCTGTAAGAGACCATTTCGAAAATGCCCCAGTTCTTCTCCTTTGGGCTTGACCGGGTCTGAGCAAGGCTTACGTTGAGGGTTGGAGGATCATGCGACTTCGGAAGTAAGGTTCTAATTACCTTAGTTGGGGTTACAAGTAGTTGCACCTTTAATTGCCGTATCTACAAGCCCTGTTACTAAGTCCCATGATCCTTTAAGCCAGGGGTTTTAAGGTTGAGGGCTCCGTGGGGCTTCTGCAAAGCGATCTCCCAGAAGTTGTTGAAAAGCTTCTCTCAAGGTTCTCTATGTTAAGGTTTGTGGGCTGGGCTTCAGAAGTTTTAGGGCTAGGGTTTGGGCAGGCCAGGTTGGCTCACTGTTCGCGATGGGCTTTTGTCAGGTTTGTATGTGTCTTTGCCGGGCTTTGAAGCCAGCAGGCACAAAATCTGAAAATTCTATTCCATTTATACGGCTGGCTTGCCCAGTGTCCTACAGGATCATGAAATCGGAAAAGTTCACAGATTCAGGGCCGAAAGGAGTTTAGGGTCTGAAGGGCATAAGAGCTCTAAACAAATTTGGCACTGCCCGTCCCCCAGTCCCCCAGCCATCAACACCTCAGCTGGAATTGTATCAGGTACCGTTGCACCAGCTGCAGTGCCTCTCCTGCAGCCCAGACGGAGGTATGATATGCTGGACCCTCGACTGCACTGAATGCCACTGCCCAGGCGGCCGTCTCATATCTTGTTTGATCAACCTGGCCTCAATTTAGCGCCACTCAAACTAGGATTGGGTCGTCTTCGGCTATTGCATAGTACTCAGAGCCATGCCAAGTACTGCATCAAGCGCGGCTACACCGTAACACACGTGCTGCACAACACCTTTACGCAATGACAAACTCTAAACCCCTCAACCCTAAAGCCCTAAAGCCCTAAACTCTAAACCTTCACACCCCGCAAAAAGGGCTTGAGGGCGCTGGTGGTGCAGCCTAGTCTCGTGATCGATCTTTTCATCCCCTGGCTTCTCGTCACCTTGCGCGTGGGAGTTTCGGTGAAATTTAAGGTTCGGGCTGTTAGGATTTTGCGTTTAGTGTTTAGGGTTCGGGTTTTATTGTGTGGGGTTTGAAGTTTAGGGTTCGGGCTGTTAAGGTTTAGGGTTTAGGGTGTCTTCCTGCACAGCGGCCGCTAATCCATGCTAAGAAGGCGCCACCTCACACGAGGGTTTGAAGGTGGCGCAGGTTTCGCATCAAGCGACCTTCGCTGTGTCGCTGCGCGCTTTGACAGAAATCGGTGAAGCCGGAAGTTCCGTTTACCCGCCTGCTGTGATGTTAATATAGGGGCGTGAATAATTCTGGGGTTCTTTATTATACTTGGCTCCAAAACCATATTCTAATCATTAGGCTTAGGCCCTCACGCAGAGGGTGTTCCCATCCAGGGGGAAATCAAGGTATTCTTGTGGAGTTTAAGCCCAGCTGTGGCTATGCGGAGCCCTCAACAGCCCAGATAGGGCGATGCTGCTGCATTCGACCACTCTCCACCCCTATACCCTAAACCCTAAACCCCTAAACCCCCAAACCCTAAACCCATTGTTTGCCCCAGTGCGGCTGCACAGGCTGCACCCAGTTATGGGTGGGAACGGACCCAGGAGCCCGGGTGGGAACTTAGGCTTTAGGGTTTAGGGGTTGAGGTTCGGGGTTCAGGGCTTAGGGCAATTATTGGGTTTATGGTTTGAAGTTCAGGGTTTAGGGTTTAGGGTATTGGGTTCATGGTTTGAGGTTTAAGGTTTAGGGTATAGGGTATTGGGTTTATGGTTTGAAGTTTAGGGTTTAGGGTATAGGGGTTAGGGCTCAGGGTTCGAATAGTCTCTAGTCGAGCTCGAAGTATTGGAAATCGCCCCACCCACCCCGGAAGCCCATGACATTGAGCAAGACATTTTGCTTCCCAGCCATTGGGGTTAGGGTTTGGGGTTGGGGTTTAGGGCTTCGGGTTTTGGGAAGGTCATGTATACTAGATCCAGCGAAACGTGACACACCAAAGCTGTCGCGATAAAGCCCACGACCAGGTGAACCGTAAAACGTGAATCTCGAACCCTGTAACCCTGAACTCGGCCGCCCTAAATCGGCCTATAACCAGGAACCCGCAGCACTTGACCAAAGCTCACCTGCCGGCCTAAACAACTAGACAAGAGTGTTCGGCGATGTATGGTCAGGCGTCTGGCGTTCCCAGCCCCCCCCCCCCCCAATGGTATGGTCTGCTAGGGTGGGGGGGGGGGGGGGCTGGCGTGTGCGGACAGGGGTCGGGGCTGTTGGAGCTGCCACTGGATGGTGGGATGGTGCTGGCGGCCAGGGCTCACACGCAAGCCCTTCGCAAGCAAGCAGTAAACCCTATAACGCAGCGCGTGCCCTTGTTTTGAGTAACCTTAAGTTGTACTTACAACCCTACACCCAACCCTAAACCCCACCTAACTGCAGGCTAAGCCTAAAGCAGAACATACACCGCAAATCCTCCCTAAGCCCTTGTCGACTCGAAGCGTTATACCTTGTAACCGTAAACCCAACACTCAAAAGCTTAAGCTAAACTCGAAACCCCAAAACCCCACAACCACCCCACAGGGGGAAGAGGGACCCCACCCCCCACACCACAGGGGAGGGGGGGTCCCACCCTATATCCGGACCATTGACCTTTGGGGGGGGGAGGGGGGGGGGGCCGGGGAGCGCGTGACCATGTATGTTGTCCTTTTCTGGGAGTTTCCGAAAATAGGGGACCCCAATGTAGTACCCTAAATAGTAGGATCCTTATTATAGGTGAGAGCGCCTGGTGTGCGTCCTGTACGTCCTCTCACTTTTCTTGGGTGCGGGGGGTGGGGGGTGGGGGGGGGGGGGGCGGGGGGCTAATTCCGGCCAGTCCCGACCCTTAACTCCCAGAACTGCGGACTTCTGTCGCGAGCAGAGCATGCTCTAGTTGTGATCGAAGCCATGTTTCCTTAGGGTCCTATGCCGAACACACCGGTAATTACGGTGTGTTCGGCACTTGCTACAACCCACGTCGCCCGAACCATCCATGGGTGGTCCATGCTATTGACGCAGAGCATCCATGGGTCAACCATGTTAACGTCCACTCAGACCAGATCTTATTAACGCAGAGCATCCATGGGTCAACCATATAAACGTCCACTCAGACCAAGTTTGCGCAGCGCGGTGCTCGCAAAAGTTGCTTTTACTGCAGTGGCAAAACCTTTTTCGCTAAAACGATCGACCTGTCACAGGGATCCTCCGCCTCTCCTAGCACAACTTTTTCGTCACAATACACGTTTCCCCTAGGTTTTAGCACATTGCCTGTTTCAGCTACGCCACACGACGCCGGTCACGTACCAGGCGCTCTTACCTTATTATAAGGACCCCAAAACAGGGTACCCCTAATTTTCGGACACTCCCATCTTACTGTTTTGATATTCGAGAAGTGCTCTGAGCAGTCGTTCGTTGCCGAGGTTCTGTCATGAAAGGGATTTAACTTCATGATGGACTGTGGGCCAAACCCCTAAACTCTAAACCCCTAAACCCTAAACCCTAAACCCTAAACCTCCTCCCTCGTCTTCTCCGAGGACCATAGCTCCACGCTCTCCTGGACGCTTGCGAGCTCCGTGAGCACGGAGCGATGTGCAGAGTCTGTCACGGCTCGCTTGAACTGCTTGGAGCATCCTGGGACTTAGTAAGTAAGGTTATAGGTTATAAGGACCCTTATCGGAGTTTTTAAAACTTAGAGAAAGAGCTCCTTTAAGGGCTGCGTATAGGGGGTACTTGGAGGATCATGGGACTTAGTAAGTAAGGTTATAAGTACCCTTGTCGGAGTTATACGTTTAGCTAGCTTATTTATAACTCTAGCAACTAAGTCCCATGATCCTCCAGGTGACCGTGCGAAGAGTGCTCAGTCGTTCGCCATGTCGGACAGTGACCTGAGGCCAAGGGGCCGCCGAGGCCGCAGAACCATCTGGCAGTGAGAACCTCGTCGACACCGTCCCTAAGGCTCCATGTACCCTTATAGTAGATACTCAGGCCGTAAAGTACCTATATAGGGACCCCTTTAAGGCCTAAGTATCTACTTTTAAGATACATGGAGCCTTTGGGCGTAGACAGCCGGCTGTACCCGTGCAGGATGCAGGTGCTCCTTGATGAAGCAATCGTGGAATTCCGCTTCACCCCAGCCCTCTTTCATTCGCTGTCTCAAGGCTTGCAAACAGACCAGGAATAAAGTATTGCTCGGGAGAAGCGCCACGAGGTGGAAGAGCGAAACCGCCAAAGCCTGCAACCTCCAACCCTAAACCCGTTGTGGAAACCCAGAAACGATAGATGGAGCCCCTACAGGAAACCCTAAACCCTAAGCCCTGTTCCCTAAACCCTACACCCTAAGCCGTGATCCCTAAACCCTAAACCCTAAACCCTAAGCTCTGATCCCTAAACCCTACACCCTAAGCCCTGATCCCTCAACCCTAAACCCTGAGCCCTGCACCCTAAACCCCAAGCCCGCCCTGAAAACCCTACCCTAAACCCTAAACCCTAAGCCCTAAGCCCTGATCCCTAGACCCTAAACCCTAAGCCCAGATAACCCTGAACCCTAAACCCTAAGCCCTGATCCCTAAACCCTACTGAACCTACCTTTGGTTAATAGGGAATGGAGGAATGGGGTATAGTGATAACTACTATTCCTACCATTCTTCCATTCCCTACTAACCAAAGGTAAGTGAAGGACGGTGCGTTTTCAGACTTCCTCGCCTGCCATCTCGTCGGACTCGTCGGATCCGACCATCGGGTCGGGTCCGGATCCGACCATCGGGTCGACTGTGGGTACCGGGTCGATGGCCGTTTCCTCGGTTTGTCTTAAGATAAAGGCCTCCTACGGTTTAGGGTTTAAGGTTTTTTTTTAGGGTTTAGGGTCTCCTTAAGATAAAGGCCTCCTTAATATAGGGGCCTCCAGAATTAGAATATGCCTCCCTTCAAGGGGATCCTTTTAAAAGGGTCTAGAAGGGTTACTATGAGCGCTACTATGAGGGTTTGGTATAGCGGCCTGAATAATTTCAACAGGGTTTTGGGGCGCGTTGTGCCACATTTTAATAAGGAACCACCAAAATAGTATCGGTAATTATTTAGGCCCCTATATTAGACGGCTCTATGAGTTCGGTGTGGGGACACGGTATAGGGTGCTGAATCTCATACACGCTTCGGAGCTGACTTGCAGCTATTGTGTAATACCACCACCAAAACCTACCCTAACAGTGAAGGCCCTCATATTACGGATTGGGATTGAGGGCTTCGGGTTTATAGCGAATCTCAGAAAGTTGGAACATTATGGGTTTAGGAGGATTGGTGCTAGGATCCCTTATACTGTACCTCAGGGGCATCAGGATACTGAACTTGCCCTAGGCATCTAAGGACTCATATGTTAAGGCTTTTGGGCCCAAAGGCCATACTATCTAAGGCTTTTGGCCTATTTTGATGCCCATGGTAATAAGGTTCCTCATAAAACCTAAACCTTAAACTGTAAAATCTTACCCTTGTAGATCCCTTAAAGGAACCCCTAGATTTCCTTTGAAGGGAACCGCTTCTACTATAGGTTCTGTGAGGGCCGCTTAGAGGATCCTTAGGAGGTTCTCGGGTTTAGGATTTAGGGCTGGGTTTCGAACCCTAAACCCTCAACCGTGGCTCTTTAGGGTTTATGATGTAGATTAGGGCCTAGGGTCCATGTCGGTCCTTCAAGTTTCACATGTTGCTTCCTACCGGTGCATTAAACCACTTATCTGTGAGAGTCTGCGCGGCCCCTTTCTTCCAGCTTTCACCCAGAGCCTCGAAAACCCCTTAATCAAGGAATATACCTTAAATCATTACAGGATCCCGAATATGATTTAAGGTATATCGCTTAATTAAACCCTAAACCCTAAACCCTAAAGGGGTTTCCGAGACTCTGGGTGCTCGCACAAGGTCTTTCAAGGGCTCAGGCGTTTTCCTACAGTAAACCCCCCCAAAGGCTGGAAACCGCTTTAAGGACAGTGCTGGGATTTCCATTCCGCAAGTGAGGGGTTTTGGGCATAAGGACACCCGAAACCCTCGAAAAGAGAGGATCCTAAGCCCAGAAAAGGTGGACCTTTTCAGGGTTGAGGGTTTAAGGTTTAGGGTTTAGGGTTTAGGGCAGTGTTTTAGGGTTTAGGGTTTACAGTTTCTTAAGCTTGCATTTGATTGTGGGGTTTCTGGGGTTTAGGTTTTAAGGTTTAGGAAGGTTTGGGGTTTAAAGGGTAAAAGCAAGCCACGCAGCGAAGAGTTAAAATGCTACCAATGCGGGATCGAGCTTCCAACGGACTACTCTGGAGGAGGCAGGCGTCATCTGACTGGGCCTCCGATGTTTAAGGCTTAGGGTTTAGGGTTTAGGGTTCATTGCTTAGGGTTTGTAACAGTATGCGCGCGGTGGGTGCGCCTTTTACTTTAGGAATAAGGGGCGCGCCCACTAATCGCGCGCTTGCGTCAGCATGTAGTCCCGCCCCAACCACCCCAACTATTCTCAATTAGGGTTTAGGGTTCACCCCCCAAACCCCCCTCAAGGGGGCTTTCTTGCTCTCTGCTTCCTTTCGCAGCTTGACATGTAAACAACAATGTTTCTCCAGAAATCACAGCTGAAAGGGATTGCTGTCGGGTTGTGGGTCCTCGCGGCCTGTGCCGGCCGCTCGACGTGAAGCAAGGGTTTCCAAACAAACAACTTGGTTCTCGCGCCCTGTGAAGGCTGCTCGAAGTGTGAACAAGGCAGGGCAGGGCAAGGAGTAGGCGAGGGCAGGGCAGGGCAGGAAGGCAGGGCAGGGAGGAAGGGAGGGCAGGTTGGGCGGGCAGGGCAGGCACAGGCAGCGGTGGGTTTGGGGTCTTTCTTTACTGCCTAACGGCAGAGAAGTCATTGGCGTGGCGGCGTCACTACAGTCCTCAAAAACCGGGAGGCTTTACCCTCCCTCACCGTTCTGACGGGACGCTCGGTCGGGGACCTCGGTCGGAGCCTCGAGCGCCCATGCAAATGGTCAGCGGCGCTCTCGGCAGTTTAGGGTTTAGGGTTTAGGGTTTAGGTACCTTATAATTACGTATAATCATATACTCTCCAAAACCCCAGCCTACATATCTACTATCCTAAAACCGAGTACCTAAATATTGGGTGCTTTGGACCCTTGAGGTTAGGGCTTGGGGATGTCTTGCAGGGTCTCACAGGGTTTAGCGTTAGGTATACTTTCTTGCGCGGTGTTGAGGGATTTAATGGCTTAGGTTTATAGTGATTCTGCGAACATGTTTATGGGGCCTTACGGGTCTGGAACTGTCCTCTTCGGTGTGCCGGTTCGTCTCGCCGAAGGATTGAAAAAGACCGGGGCTCTAAACCCCTAAACCCTTAACTTTAGGATTCTGTGGGGCCTAACCTAAATCTCCAAGGGTAAAAGGAGGGACCCCTAATAAGGACCCCTAGGTATATACCACAATATAGCCATTAACAGCTATTATATACCCATTATAATTATATAAACCATTATAGGGTAGGGGTCCCGATTAAGGGTCCCTTTGAAAAATCTGAACCCAGCGGGCCCTGAACCCTAAGCCCTCCATCTTAAACCCTGAATCCATAGGACACCAAGTTCCCAGACCCCCGCCAGGATCTAGAACGTAGATCCCCTAATTTCGGGCCCTATACTACTAAGGGTACTGTATAGGAACCCCCATTAAGGGATCTACTTTTTGGATCCTCCCGGGGGTCTGGGTTTGAACCATAGACCCTAAACTCTCGACTCAAATGTACTTGCATCTCGAGGTATCGCAAAGGTTTACGGTTTAGGGCTTAGTTCAAATCTACTACACAAGTTTCTGTGGGCGAAGAACCTAAGGTGCCTGGAGAGGGCATCAAAAGGGCTCGTCGAGACTGTCCCATAATTGAAACACTTTGTAATCTCTTGGTGTTTCGAGTAGACGTATATCAAAAACCTATGGTAACCTTGCAGTACTGCTGACCCAAGAAATGTTCATAGCTAAACCCTAAGCCTGTATAAACCCTAACCCCGTTCCTGAACCCCGAATCTTGAACCCTAAACCGGGCCACTAAAACCTAGACCTTAGGTACTGCCCCCATACAGTAAGAGTCTACAATCGGGCTACCACTAAGGTCCTGATATATCTGGACTCTAAATCGCCGTAAAGCCTAAACCTCAAACCGTACCTGAACCCTGCGTAGCCTACCTTTTGAAGGCTCTCTCTTTTGATTTCCACGTGTAGCTCCCGAAAATGGTAAAGAGCCCTAAGGCTCAAAATGGCCCAAAAGCCGTATGTAAGATGGTCTTTGGGCCCAAAAGCCTTAAAATATGAGTCCTTAGAGCCTTAGGGTTATAGATCCCCCTTAAAGGACCCCTTATAGATCCCTCTAAAGGACCCCTTATAGAGCCTTAGGGCTATAGAACCCCTCAACGGAATCCTCAAGAGCCCCCAAAAGATCCCTTTAAATTAAGATCCCTGTAAATGGGAGTTCCCGAAAATAGGGGGACCCTTATAGTACCCTAAATAGTAGGAACCGATTATAAGGACCCCAAAATAAGGTACCCCCAATTTTCGGAAACTCTAAACCGTAAAGCCTTTAAAGAATCCTTATAGATCCCTTTAAGGAACCCTTAAAGGATCCCTTCGAAGGAACTCCTATTTTCGGAAACTCCCAAATGAGTCCTTAGAGCCTTGGGTAAGGTTTTGAGGGTTGTAGGTAAGCCCTGAACCCTAAACCCTAAACCCCTAAACCCTAAACCCCTAAACCCTAAACCCTTAAACCCTAAACCCTAAACCTCTCTTTCATATGTATATTTAAAGGTTAATGGCCTTAGTGATTTTTGTCCCTCGGGGGCCTGTGCGACCACCCCGCAGGGACAAAAATCACTAATTTGGCAGTGTTCTCCGGCTTGAACACTGCCGAATTAATGATTTTTGTCCCTGGGACCTCTTTGCAGGGACAAAAATCACTAATTTGGCAGTGTTCTCCGGCCTGAACACTGCCAAATTAATGATTTTTGTCCCTGGGGTGCCCCGCAGGGACAAAAATCACTAATTTGGCAGTGTTCTCCGGCTTGAACACTACCAAATTAATGATTTTTGTCCCTGGGGTGCCCCCCAGGGACAAAAATCACTAATTTGGCAGTGTTCTCCGGCTTGAACACTGCCAAATTAATGATTTTTGTGCCGGCCCGCCCTGTGGGGACAAAAATCACTAATTTGGCAGTGTTTTCCGGTTTGAACACTATCAAATTAATGATTTTTGTCCCTGGCGGGGGGCCCGCCCTGCAGGGACAAAAATCACTAATTTGGCAGTGTGGTTTTTGTTGTTGGGGGAAAATTCGTAACAATCTCATGTGGTGCCAAATTAGCGAGTTTTAGAGTAGAGCAGTGGCTTCTAGGGTTTAGGGCATATTTGGTTGGCCGTTAGTGTGTAGGAAGAAATTGTGTATTTTCCAAATGTTTTGGGATTCTTTGGGCGGGTGGGTTTTTTACTACTACACTGCTGACCTAGTGATTTCTTAGCCCAGCTAATCGTAAACTCTAAACCCTAAACCCTAAGCCCTGAACCCTAAACCCTAAACCCTAAGCCCTAAACCCAAAACCCTAAACCCTAAGCCCTGAACCCTAAACCCTAAACCCTGTTTTAGGCAAGCCCTGAAAGTTTTGAGATCCGTCAGGAGGCCTCCCCCGAGGCGTAGACCGCGAGGCAGAAGAGCGATCTCAGTGGGTTTACTTGGAGGATCATGGGACTTAGTAACTAGGGTTATAAATAAGGTAACTATACTTATAACTCAAATTAGGGTACTCATAACCTTACTTACTAAGTCCCATGATCCTCCAAGTAGGGGTTTAGGTTTAGGGTTCAGGGTTTAGGGTTTAGGGTCTGGGGTTTAGGGAGCTTTGCCTAGGAAAAGCGGCGCTTTCTAAAACTTGGCGTTGGGTTTTGGTGCTTTCACAAGCTGGATTGTTCTTTGTTTTTACAGGGCTCTTACAACTTTTTCCTTACCTACAACTGTACTGTGCAGAGACAACATCAATATACTCATTAAACATCACGCACGACCCTATCCTGCACCCGGCACAAAACTGAATGGACATCCTCTAGCCTACAGACTTCGTCAGGTGTACTGGGCTACTTGGAGGATCATGTGGCTTAGTAACTAGGGTTATAAATAAGGTAACTATACTTATAACTCAAATTAGGGTACTTATAACCTTACTTACTAAGTCCCATGATCCTCCATGTAGTGGTTCTAGAGATCCACCAGTTCGAACCCTGCGGCCCTGTGATTCAAACAAGGCCCTATCACCTTGACCCGCATATAGGGCTTACGGTTTAGGGTTCATGGTTTAGGGTTTAAGGTTTTTTGACTGGTACCCGTAATACGAGCCTGGGCTAGACCCTGAATACACAACCCGTGTCACAATCACAAAACTTTGAAACCCCGAATCTCTGAAAGGGGTTTAGGGTGTAGGGTTTAGGGTTCAGGGCTCAGGGCTGAAGGTTTAGAGCTTAGGGTTCAGGGCTCAGGGTTTAGGGCATGGAAGTCCTTCTTACAAGGGTGCCGTACGATTTCGGGACCTAAAAAGGGACCGCAATGTAGAGAACTACCCATGTACGGGGGAAGCTCAAAAGGCCTCGGGTTTCAGGCTTACTTGGAGGGTCATGAGACTTAATTAATAACTACGGTTATCAGTAATTACCCTAATTGGAGCTATAAGGTAGTACAAGTATACTTACCTTCTTTATGACCCTAGTTACCAAGTCCCATGACCCCCAAGTAGGCAGTGCGACCACTTGCGGTGCGACCTGGTGGCCCGGCTGCCTGCATGTCATAGGAGGTGGTGGTTCTTTGTGCTGAGAAGCTGCCGACCCAACGTGTGCCACACAAAGGTCTGGCAGTTGCAGCTGAGACAGTTGTAGCGCTAGCTCCCGAACTCACAGCAAACGTTCAGATACCGCATTTGGCAACCTGCTGTTGTCGAGTGTGTGGCGATTGGCCAGCACATGTTTGATTGCAGACATCTTCGAAACGAGTGTAAAGCCACACATCATAGTTTATGGTCTTGTGCCCTGAGGGCTCTTGGGTCATGTTGAGCCCTGGGGTTTCGGCACAGACCGACTATCGAAACCCAAAGGCCTTCCACTGACCTACAATAGAAGCCAGAAAGTTTGAAGATCGTTGTCTCACGCCCTTATGGTGAACTACAGGGAATCCCAACACTAAGCAGCCTAAATCCATGTTCCAAATTTCTGGGGTTCACCATAGCGTCAGGCGTCGACCTGCTAAACAACCCTGTCTAGGGTTTACGGGTTTAGGGCCTAGGAAACCCTAAACCCTGAGCCCACCCTTCGAAGCAGACGGGGAGCGTCCACCACATCAGCGCCATGGCAAAAAGAGGTCGGGCGGTTAAGCTGCAGCCACAGAAACAGCTGCTGCAATAATTAGTATAGGGGTTCCTTTAATAAGGGGTTTTTGGGCTGTAATAATTAGTCTCGGGGTCCAAAAAATGGTGTCTATATAAGTGTTACTGTAGTATGGGGGGTCCTTTAAAAAGGGGTCTATGGAAGGGTTACCATAGTATAGGGGGTTCCTTTAAAAAAGGGGTCTATATAAGGCTTACTATAGTATAGGGGTTCCTTTAAAAAAGTGTCTATATTTTTGGAAGGGTTACTATAAGGGATACTGCAAGAGCTCTGCGACATGGTCTGAAGGATGGTTTAGGGTTTAGGGTTCAGGGTTTGAGGTTTAGGGTTTAGGGTTTGAGGTTTAGGGTTTAGGGTTGGAGGTTTAGGTTTAGGGTTTAGGATTTAGCGTTTGCGGTTTGCAGTTCAGGGTTTAGGGTTTGAGGGGTTTAGGTTTAGGATTTGGCGTGTTTGGGCTTAGGGTCCTAGGAGTCGTGGCTGTTGGCTTTGGGGGATAAACAGACTCCTTACAGGATCCGAACATGACCTGGTTTAGGGTTCCCACTTACTACATCCCCGGCAACGTGGGACAGGATTTGTTGTATGGCTTGGGGGTGGATGGTGTGCGGCATGCAAAACACTTGAAGTTTAGGCCTAAGATTTCATAACTACTGCTGAAGGACAAAATCCTGCACAACCATTAAGCATACTGAATTTTAGGTTATGTCTTCATGCGTATTCCTCTGATTCCGGATAAATTATTTATGTCCATCAAAAAGCGGCGTCGAGGGCAAACTCGCTTTGGGATGGGTTTGCTTCAACTACCAAAATTGAGCCCCGATCGGCTGGGTATCCAGCATCGAGGGTTTTTCAGACCTTTTGGAACCAAATTCCTTTGCACTCTAAGCCCGTTTCGAACCAAGAACTAACGTCTAAACAATTTGCTCCGGGCATAGGCATGTGGGTAGTTGTCAAAATTATGGTCCCTTTTTGGGTACCCTAAATATTAGGTGCCGAATAATAATAATAATAATAATAATAATAATAATAATAATAATAAGGACCCAAAAAGGGACCCTAATTTTGACAACCACCCGCAACCACCCGTTGTGGAGGGCGAGGTGCCGTTTCCATGTCAGGAGGGTAAAAGATTTGCGGTCACGGCTTAGGGTTTAGGGCTTTGGGTTCATGGCTTGGGGCTTAAACAGTCTGGGGTCTAGTAGATGAAACTCCTGCTAGTGTAGCAGGGCGACCTCTGAAAAACATGACGCAATCCTATGTCCCTCTACGTAAATTTACCGTAGAAAAGTAGGCCAAAGCCCTTTGAAAGAAAGCCAACAGACCCTGTCTAAGTCTACATAAACCCTTTTCTACCAAACTCTAAACTCTCCCAAACCAAAAACCCTAAATCCCTAAATGGGTCTAAACCCTAAGCTAAACCCTAAACCCTAAGAGACCCGAAACTTAAAAGTCGGGGACCAGCCCTACCAGCCCGGACCCAAGAAGCCTCGGGGTTTAGGGTTTCGGGTTTAGGGTCTAGGGTTTAGGGTTTAGGGTTTAGGGTTTAGGGTTTCGGGTTTAGGGTTTAGGGTTTAGGGTTTAGGGTTTAGGGTTTAGGGTTTAGGGTTTAGGGTTTAGGGTTTAGGGTTTAGGGTTTAGGGTTTATGCTTCGAGTTCGGCTTTAGGGTCTTGGGTTTCGGGATCACCACAGCCCTACTACCCTAAACCTTAGGTACGGCCCCCATACAGTAAGAGTCTATAATAGGGCTACTATTAAGGTCCTACTATATCTATATTATGAGTAATATTCAACTATTACTGAGTGGGGGCCGTACCTACCCTAAACCCTGCAATCTTAACAATCTTAAACTCGCAAATCTCGAACTTCGAGACGCACCAATCCAAAAACCTTATCACACCCCGAACCTCTACTGAACTGAGACCCCCAGCAAAATGTATTATTTTAGATATTTCTTAGGGATTTAAAGGAACCAAAGATTTAAACATACTTCTAAGTACCCCTAAAGAGCTACGACCGGTTTAAGTTTAGGGTTTCGGGTGGCCAATAATCCTACACCCTCAACCAACCCCGCCCCTTCCCTGTCCCCAGCAACAAACACCTGCCTAACACGGCCTTCATAATTAGACGAGAGCTTAGGGTACATTTTACAGCTTGTCTTTGTACATTCCGTAGCTTACCCTCAGGCCCCATAGTAGTTCCCTTTTGGGATTACCTTACAGGATCCTATGAACCCCCAAAAGGAACTACTTTGGGGCCTTAGGGTATGTCAAAGATGCAAGACGCACCGGTTCTGGTACAAAGCGCAGGTGTGTCCGGATCGGCTTTGTGGGACCTGGCGAAGGGTCTGAGGACGAGGAACGCAATCTTCCTTTGGGGGGGGGGGGGGAGACAAGCTTTGGGTTTAGGTTTTAGGGTTTAGTGGGTTTGGGCCTTGGGAGGTTTAAGACGTTTTCGAGGTTTAGAACGGTTGTGGGTTCAATTAAACACCCCTCGGGCAAAGTATTCACAGGATTTTTTGTTGCTTCTCTTCGGGGGAGATCCCCTGTAGGGGCCTTAATAATTAGAATAGGGCTTGGGGGGCCCATTATACTATAATTATAATCATAGGGACCGCCCAAAATAGTATTGGTCTTTATTTAGGCCCCTATATTAGGGCCTGGGAACGCTTTTCGATGTTTATCGGCTTAGAGTTGCTTCGGGCTTCAGAGCCCCTTTCAGGGTTCGAAAAAGGATCTACAAGGGTTCCTTTAAAAAGGGATCTGTATGGGGGCTCTAAGGGTTTAGGACTTAGGGTTTACTAGGTTCCTGAATGACCCCTAAGTAAGAAGGGTGCCATTTTTTCCTTTTACTCAGTTTTAAACCGGGAACCGTACAATCAAAAGGGCAAAAGGGTACTACTCAGGAACCTAGTTAATTAAGGTTCTAGCGATCAGTCAGGGACTTAGAGCATCAGGGCTTAAGGTGCAGGGATTTCATGGAATGCCGCTTCGCGAAGTACAGCATAGAAACCTTGAACCCCTCACCCTGAACCCTGAATAATTGGTACTGGGTGGACAGGCAAACCTTGTTGATGGCTGGCATAGGATTTATATGTAAACTTCTATTCCACATTGGATTCAAACACCTATGAACATGTAAAGTGCTACCCAACTATCCAAGGGTAAAAGGAGGGACCCTTAATAAGGACCCCTAGGTAAATACCCTTAAAATAGCCATTATATACCCATTATATAGCCCCATTATAGGGTAAGGGTCCCCATTAAGGGTCCCTCCTTGTCCCCTTTGACTAAACTAAACCCTAAACCCTATAGATCCCTTTAAAGGGACCCTTATAGATCCCTTTAAAGGAACCCTAAGAGCCTAAGGGTCCCTCCTTGTCCCCTTTGAAACTATGACAAACTGCGAAGCTGGAAGTCCAAGCCAGTGGACGGTGGAGGGGCAAGCAATACCTGACACCTCGGTTTAGGGTTTAGGGTTTAGGGTTTAGGGTAATTTTACTAGGATACCCAGTAACCTAAGAATAAAAAGGCCTCTCTTTTTGGTATAAGGAACCCAGGACTACAAAAAGGGAATAAGGGTACTACTGGGCATCCTAGATGACTGTTGCTCTGCAAACACTAGAAGGTTTTGGGCTCTTTTACAGTAAGTTAGTAACTAGACCTAAGAGTAACCTAGGAATTCAAAGGGTGCCCTTTTTGGTTTAAAGGGGCTTATAAGGGAACCGAAGCCCTCAAAAAGGGAATAAGGGCCTACTCTGGGTCCTAGGTAAATAGAAAACAAACATCCCGACAAGCTTCTCGGGATGACGGCGGAGTATAGTTGCTCCCCCGTTGCGGGGCCTTGCGAGCAGACTGGCCAGCAGCAGCCGTCGCTTTGAAGGTGCCCCTAACGCTGAGTGTGATTACAGTCGACCCCTCCCAGCACCAGCCTACTTGGAGGATCATGGGACTTAGTACGTAAGGTTATAAGTACCCTAGTTGGAGTTATAAGTATAGTTACCGTATTTATAACCATAGTTACTAAGTCCCCTGATCCTCCAAGTAGTGTCGAGGCAGCCGGGCGGATGACGTTGATCATCACAGACCATTGCAGGTGCTAGATGTGTATGTTTATGGTTTAGGGTTTAGGGTTTAGGGCTTAGGGCTTAGGGTTTAGGGTCTAGGTTTAGGGTTTAGGGTTTAGGGACTGACATCGATGCTCTTCATGAGTTCTACAGAACCCAAGGCTGTCTTGAAGGATAACCTTAACACCTAAAACCAAGGATGCACACGCACCAAGGCCAACCTTACGTGCTAAGCTCCAGTGAAGCCATGAGTTTCAAACATCCTGAACCCTTACCCTGCAAGCCCGCGATACACTCTAAACCCTAAACCCTAAACCCTAAACCCTAAACCCTAAAACTCTGAAGCCGGAACCCGGAGCCATTGATCCGAACCTAAACCCCTCGACCCCTATGACCCAACACCCGAAATCTCCAAGACCTGCAAGTACTAAATCCTGAAACAATGGGTTTAGGTTTTAGGGTTTAGGGTTTAGGGTTTAGGGTTTAGGGTTTAGGGTGAAACAATGTAATTTCCCTGGAAAATCCTAAATCATGAAGGAAAGCAGAAACCCAAAGCCTCTACGCCCTCCAAAAGCATCCAAAGCCGTAGAACCGCCTCGCCGTCACATTTCAGCAGCTCCCAGCACGGGAAGGGCCCAGCCTCTTCCGCAATGACTCTTCCATACTCCCCAAATCCTTAATCCTAAACCCTAAAACCCTAAAACTCTAAAACCCTAAACCCTAAACCCTATAACCAAAAATCCTAAACCCTAAACTAGATCACAGGATAACAGAGACTTAACAGGGCTTACAGACATTTTGCAGAGCTGATTTACGGGGTTTCTGAGCGAGGCGCACTCTAGACCCCTCAACCCTGGACCCTCAGCCCTAAACCCCAAACCCCTAAACCCCAAACCCCT